TGGGTGTTTCAGTGTTTCTTCTGACTGAGGTTGGTTGAGCTTCTTGAATCTGTAGGTTTACTCTTTTCATTAAATGTTTAAAAAGTGTGTTAATTATTACTTTCAAATATCTCCCCTCTTTTTTTCCCAGAGCTCCAATTATATGTATGTTAGACCACTTGCTGTTGTTCGCTGTGTCACTGAGGCTATATCCATATTTATCAATTATATACTTCATTTTGGATAATTTCTTTTGTTTTTAAGCTAACCAGGATTTTATTTTTGCAGTGTTTAATCTACTGTATTTTCAATTTTACAACTGTGTTTTAATCTCTAGAATCCTATTTGGCTATTTTTGATATTCTCCATTTCTCTTTTCATTTTGTTTATGTTCTGTTTTGTGTCTTTGAGCATATTTATAATAGTTTCTTTAAGGTCCTTGTGTGTCAATTATATCATTTCTATTATTCCTGTATGTTTTTATTGAACTTTTAAAAATGTATGTTGTAGTGTCTTTTTTGTTTTTGGGGGTTTTTTTTTTGCTTCTTTGCATGCCTGGTAATATTTTACTGATGATGGACATTTTGAATTTTATGCTATTGAGCGCTGGGTCTTGTAGTCTTTTAATGAGCATTGGGTTTTATTCTAGATTGCAGTTAAGTTTTTTGCAGATAAATTTGATTCTTTTTAATACTTACTTTTAAACATTATGAGGGAAGGTCTAGAGTAGTTTCTAGTCTCTGGTTTATTCGCTCCATTTTTTTCTGGGAATTGTATCTAATATCCTGTATATCATGAGATCTTTCCACTCTGGTTGGTGGGAACACAAAGTATTTTCAGCCATGTGTGAACTCCAGGAATTGTTCAGCTACTGTCTATCAGTGGTTCTTTCTTTCACTTCCAATAGTTTCCTCTCATTTTTGCCTAGATCAATACTCAGAAAAAGACTGAGAGGGTCCCCAGCAGATTTCCAAAGCACTCTCTTTCTTGGTATCTCCCTCTTCTTTATTACTCTGCCTCATAAATTTGTTTGCCTTGATGTCCCTAACTCCAGTCTATTCTCCTTACCTTAGCAAGACTTCTAGGCTCTCTGAGTTTCCCTTCTTGTGCCATGGCCTGGAAACTTCCTCCAGACAGTAACTTGGGGTCAGTTATAGTCATTGGGATAATGTTTATTTATATTTCATTTTCTGTCAGTCAGTTGTAGGTTCACCTCATTTGTTTTCCAAAGTCCTGTGAAATCTGTTATCTAATATCTGAAAAGAGCTTTTTGGATATTTTGTCTGGTTTTTGAGTTGGTTGTAGCAGGAGGGCAATTCCAATAGCAGTTACTTCTTCATGAACAGAAGCAGAAGTTCTACCAATTGCAAAACAACTTTTTAAAGGACAGTAATTGTAGGACTAGTTTTTTAATAGCCAGAAATAATGTGTAAAAGGATAGGGCAGATTTTTGTGGAAAGATATGGGGACTGTTGTGGAGAAGGAAATGCCAACCCACTTCAGTATTCCTGCCTGGAGAATCCCATGGACAGAGGAACCTGGTGGGCTACAGTCCATGGGGTCTCAAAGAGTTGGGCACAACTGGGTGACTAATATACACACACCTGTGGGGGCTGTTGAGAGTTGTAAACCTATAAAGGACTGGGAGCAGCATAGCTGATGCAGTGCCTATTTTCCTAATGACTGGGCAGGATTCCACATTCTGTCAAATAAATTGAAAGTCCTGCCATGGTCTTGTATCTGCTACCATATGTGAATGAGACAGTTTACCTCTATAGACTTAGTGGGAGAGGCAGGAGAAGGGGTTGTTCTTGGAGGAGCCTGGCACACATTTCTCTTTGTGCCTTGGATTCTTTTTATCTGTTTTGTAGTCAGGTGCCTTACTGTTATCGCCTCTGACACACTACTTCCCACCCACTTTCCCAATCACTCAATACGTTTTTGGAATCATTCAACTCTGTTCTTTCAGTGACTAAGCCATTCACTGTTTCACCAGCTCCTCATGTGTGAATCTTTGTGAATGTGTACTAATGTTGAAATTGAAAGACTGCCTCATGGTGGAGCCTAGTATCATGATTTATAAAGCTCCTACACTGGATAGCCATTGACTGTAGGGGGGCCTAGCACTCAAGTTGCCATGCCATTGTGTTAGTCTGTCCGCTTTTAGAATGTACTCAGAAATCTGTTCAAATGGACAGTTCCATCATGTTCACAAAGTCTCCCAAGGATGATGTGGGCTTAAGGTTGTTATTCCTCCTGAGATCCACAGTGTTGACCATGGTTTCTCTATCTTAGCATTATTGACATTTGGGAGTAGATAAGTCTTTGTTATTTGGACCATTCTGTGAATTGTAGGATGTTTAGCAGCATCCTTGGCTTCTACCTACTAGATGTCACTAGCACCCTCCTCTGTTTTGACAACCACATCTGCCAGATGTCTTCTGGAGGTGCAAAATTGCCCTAGTTGAGAGTCACTGGTATACACATGCTATCGTGCGCCACACTCCAGAGAACCCATAGATATGAAACTCTAGGAACTAAACATGAAGAAACTTAATAGGATATTGGTGTCCTCTTGGGTGAGCTCAGTCCAGTGTGTCTGCCCCATTCAGGGTGTATACCAGGAGGACACTGACCTTGCAATATAAACACCAGGATTTGAGTCCTATCTCTGCAGATTTGGAGCAAGTTTCTCTACTTTTCTGCTCTTAAGTTTCCTTTTGTGAAAATGAGGAAAGGTCTTGTTTACTTCACATGACACAGTTGTGAGAGCAAAATGAGGTTTTATGTATAAACACACATCTATATGATATAAGGATACACAAACAAGGACTTAATAATGGTTCAAATATAAGTGTACTTATTTGCAAGTATGATTAAAAGGGTGATATAGGAGAAATGTCTCTTTCAATCCATCATGCAGTATAGTCTTTCCTGTGGCTTCTAATATTGTTCTATGCTAGAAGACATAGTAGGGGATGTCTAGCTTTTAAGAAAAAGAAGAAAATTGTCTTTTTAGTGGTTAAAATTTCAATTAAAATATATTTTAATATATTTAAATTTAAAATAAATTGAAATAATATTTCAATTTAAAATATAAATTAACATGCAAATAGTCATGTTTTTATATATACTTCTTAATTTTCCATTCAGTAATCTGACCAGTCTGCACAAGAATTTAAATGTCTTGACAGAAGGTAGTGGCTTTTAGTTCTCTTGGGATTTCATTGTAATGAGCCTGGTAAATAATTCAGGAATATATGAGAGGCCAATATATGGGCAGCACCTGGTGCTATATTGTTCTGTCTAAGTATGCAGAATCCAAAGATGGCATTCTACACCTGTCACTATTATTCTATCTTAAACACTAGTCCTATATTCAGTGGCTATTGAAATAATTGATTTTTTCCTCTTCCAATTTTCCTCCATAGTAAAAGAAAAATGTGCTAAGCTGTCCCAGAAACACAAACCAGAAGTGGCATCCTCTTTAAATTTCCACTGGTAAAATTTCAAATCTGTTTTTCTTAAGAGATAGGTGCTTTAAAGAATTGGGGACATGTCTGCCTTTTCTGCTGGGATTAATTTGAGCCTCTCTGCATTTCTACTTTTGTTCTGCAAAGTAGAGCTTGTTTTTAGATAACAGTGTTCATATTGTAGTCATCTTCTGAGAAAAGATGGTTACTCGCTCACTCTGTGGGAATTTTTAGAACCCTCAGTTTCTCTCCCTACTACCCGAGTAGCCTTTCTAGTAGTCTGACAGTTTTAAAAACAAATGAGTAAAAAACTCTTGATAAAGTGTTTGCATATCCTTCTGAGATTTCATCTGACTAGACATAGAATGTTCCTCCATTTGCTGAGCGAATAAGAGATCACAGGACCAACCAACAGACAATGTGTGCAGACACTATGGGGCACCTGAGCCCACTGTCAGCCAGGACCAGACAGAGCTTAATCCCTGAGATGCATAGAAAGATCTTGGAAGGCCAGGGGGGCGTTCCTAGTAAGGAAAAAAAGGAAGATGTGCTCACATATATAAACTAAAATTTTTGTAGTGCTGGGCCATGAAAAGATCTGAAGAGGGACTGTAGAGCTTTATATCTATAAATTGTTAGATATGCTTTATCTTTGTTTTTAAAGTATTGTTTATTAAAGAGGTTTTGAAATATATTCATTTAAATATATATTGTATTTTAAACTTTCGTTATATATAAGAATGTATTGTGTATAATTATGTATAATAAAAATATGCTTCCCTGGTGGCTCAGATGGTAAAGAATCTGCCTGCAATGCAGGAGACCCAGGTTCAATCCCTGGATAAGGAAGATTCCCTGGAGAAGGGGATGGCCACCCACTCCAGTATTCTTGCCTGGGAAATTCCATGGACAGAGGAGCCTGGTAGACTACAGTCCATGGGGTTGCAGAGTCGGACACAGCTGAGCGACTTTTACTCGCTCACTCGCCTAAACCTTTGTTATATATAAGAATGTATTATGTATAACTATATCTAATAAAAATATAGCTATTATAGTTAAATGTATAAAATACTTTAAAACCTCTGTAATAATCCATTTACATATATGTATGTTTTTGTGTTAGAGTAAATTATATGTATATAAATAAAACATTTATTTATTAACAGGTTTAATTGCTTTCCTTTCCTTCAGGACCTGTGTGAGAGTACTTGGAGCAGTGACTGCCATCTGGTGGCAAGCTAGAATCATCACTTTGTGTGACCTAATGGTTACTAAGATGTCCACTCTTGACTCATGTGGTCTGCACTGGCAGCAGGGGACCAGAAGAGCCTGGAAGGTGTCTGATATAGGAGCCTAGTGAAATAACTCTCCGCTTCCACCTGAATGGATTGTTGATCCCAGATTCTGAGCCAGGATCCACCTCCAAAATGGTGCCTCTGAAGAAAAGATCTGAGTTGCTGTTGTGTTTTAGTCAGAGATCTGCTGGTTACCTACCAGTGGGTAACCAAGACTGTGAATAGGCGCATACCAAGAGGGGCATATGATGACATGGAGCCTGAAATAAACTGCTCTGAATTGTGTGACGGTTTTCCTGGTCAGGAGCTGGAACGTAGACCCCTTCATGATCTCTGCAGAACTACAATTGTAAGTGAGCAGGCCATGGGGTGTCAGGGCTGCTGCTTAGATATACATGTTGTTGTTGTTATTGTTGTTAATGATAATGGTGGTGGAGGGGGGAGGGGTAAATGTTTATGCAGGACATCTGTGTCCCGACTCTGACGGTGATGGGGCAGTTCATGTTTGAGCTATAGAAGAGCTTCATTTCTAACAGCTTCTCTTCATTCTGTTCTCAGACCTCTTCCCACCACAGCAGTAAGACCATTTCTTCATTATCTCCTGCCCTCTTGGGTATTGTTTGGACTTTCCTAAGCTGTGGACTTCTCCTCATAGCCTTCTTTCTTGGCTTCACAATTCGCTGCAGGAAGAACAGGTAAGCAGCCTATGCCTAGTTTCTCATCTCTCATCACCTGAAACATAAAACCCAGAGTGTTGGTGTCACTTTGGCACCATGAACTGCTGGCTGGTGTCAGAAAATCTTCTGTTCTACTGTGACATTAAGCTATGTGAGATGCTCCCCCTGACGGAGGCCTAGCCTTGCAGTACAGATCCGTCTTGAGAAGGTGAAAGATCTTCCCAGTATTGTGCTAACTACAACGACATCCAAAAAAGCGAATGAAGGGTTTCTCTTCATAAAGGAAGGTGAGATCCTTCTGAGAAGATGTATTTGTGTTAAAAACAGAGATCATGTAAAGAAATATTCCAAAGCAACATTTAAGTTTATGGCAGCAGAATTGGAACCAGTCTGGGTAAGCTAAGATTCTGCAAAAATAGTGAAGCCCTACTCCTGGCTATTCTGATAGACAATTGTGACTAGTTGAGAAGTCACTGGTTCCTCCAGGTAAGTGTGTATGGCACCCAGGACTGACAAAAGGGACTTGAAGAGTCTTTCCTTCACTGCCATCCAGTCGTTCCCTCAGGACCCACCCCATCTCTCCCGTTCTGTACCGTCATTCTGCTCTAGCTGTCCCAGGCTGCCTCCTGAGAAGCCTTGCTCCAGCCCTGTCTCCCTGGCCCACAGGCCATTTCTGGATGGATCCTGTTGTCAAATTTCAACAACTCCCTCAGAGATGCCAAGCTCATCTGGCTCCATACCAGCCTGACATTTTGTGGTAATCAGTGTGTTTTGCTCCATTGCCTGGGCTTGGCACTCAGATGAGGGTCATTTAGTCGGATTTGTCTGTAAGCATTTGGGGTGCCTCTGGCTATCTGAGGCATGGAGGATATGAAACTGTCAGGCAGCAGTGGCTTGATCTGCTGGGTCAACCTCAGCATGGCCATGAGGCATGGCACTCAGCCCTGGGGATACCCCTGAAGTTTCCCCAGCCACTTTTCACTCTATTCCTTAGATACATTAAGCCTGCTCTCATCTTAAGGCCTTTGACTTACTGTCCCTTTACTGTTCCCACTGCCCAAGAGTCTTCTCCAGATCTTCCCATGCCTAGTTCCTTCTCATCTGATAGGTCTTGACTCAAACGTCATCTCTTCAGAGAAGACTTCCCTGATCATCCTATCTAAAGTTACCTCTTTATAGAGGTAAAGAGAGCTGGCCACCCAGACTCTACACCTCATGCCATATCCTATCACTCATTTATTTTCTCCACAGCGAGTCTCACTCTCTGACAGTACCATGTTTGTCAATTTACCTGTTTATTGTCTGTATCACCCACCAGAATGTAAAATCCATGAAAACAGGAACCTTCTCTGTCATGTTCACCACTGTCTCCAGTACTTAGAACAGACACAAACATAAAGAATGCTCAGTATATATGCTTTTGCTTCCCTGATGGCTCAGTGGTTAAGAATCTGTCTGCCAGTAAAGGAGACATGGGTTCAATCCTTGGGTCAAGAAGATCACCTGAAGAAGGAAATGGCAACCCACTCCAGTTTTCTTGCCTGGGAGATTCCATGGACAGGGGAAACTAGCAGCATATAATTCATGGGGTTGCAAAAGAGTCAGACACAACTGAGAGACTAAACAACAACAAAATATGCTTTCAGTCATCCTGGAAGGAAGGAGGTTTAAATCCCAGCAGTGTCTGCTGCCAAGAAAATGACTAGGAAAATCACACATTTCAAGGTTAGAAAACTATGGAGTATTCTATTTTCAGCTGCAACATATTTCTGTAATGCAAATTAATGCCTAGTTGGCAAATAAGAAAATAACATCATTGGTTCATATGTAATTTTTCCCCCAGAAAATCAATAGTTTAAAGCATTGAGGGCCAATTTTTCTTAAGTTAAAGAAGGAAGACTTAAGTTAAGAATACTGTGGCAGTGCAAGAAGTAGATGCTTTAATGACTTCAAGAAGTGGTATTCTACCTCACAGTGTGACCCTATCTGATGAAGTCGTGGGAGCAGATAAGACATGGAAAAGACATTTCTCTTGTTTTTAAAAACAATGTGCTGTTGAAGAGAACATAGATTCAAAATAGGTTTTGATGACAATGTTATCTATTGGAGGTAAATGCCCTTAAAAACCCATCTCTTGCAGATTTAAGGCTATAAAAATCAACTGTGATCCTGGGTACAAGTGGTAGTGGACATCTACTGAATACTAACATTTTAATTGAGATAATTATTATTTTTTAGTATTCTGGTTACAAAGTTAAATGTGTTTCAAATGTTATGGTCCCATACAATTTTTCCCATAACCCATTATTTTAATATACAGTTTTGTGGAATGCAAGGTTTTTTTTAGAAGCATTTATATGTCCTGTTAAAATAGGAACACTTATAAACAGTGTTATGCTAGAAGCACCTATATTTCTTTCATTCTGTTGAAGGTTTTGTTGCCCGTCTTGCTTTCAGTGGGAGCATGACTTGGCATAAAGAATAAAATATTAAGAGACACTGTGAATAAAAACACATTTCACAATTAAGTAGCTTACAAGGTCAGACAGGGAAAGATAAAATAACCCAGTTTCAAGAGCACTTTCTTAAATAGCAAAATTTGTTCAGAGGTGCAGCATCACAGTTAGATGTCTCATTTCATTCCATTTCTGTGGTCTCTAAATTTCTGCCTGTGATTCTGTGTGTGCCAGATTAAGAAAAACATTTTAATAAAATAAAAATAGTAATGTTCAAATTCTGTCACTGATATTGCATTTTTATAACATTTTAAAATGTAGTCTACAAGAGAAAATCAGTAAAGATATAGAAGACTTGAACAATCCCATTAACCAACTGGACGTAATTGACATTTGTATAATCCTACACCCAACAGAAGCAGAATACACATTCTTTTCAAGTACATATGGAACATTTACCAAGATAGATCATCTTCTGGGCCATAAAAAAAGGTCTTATTAAATTTAAAAAGATTCAAATCACAAAGAGTGTGTTCTCTGTCCCACAATGGAATTAAACTAGAAATCCATAACAGAGAAACCTCTGGAATATTCTGAAATATTTGAAAACTAAATGTTGTTGTTTAAACGCTAAGTCATGTCCAGCTCTTTTGTTAGCACTTTAAAATAACCCATGATCAATAAATAAATAAAATAAAATAACCCATGATCAAAGACAAAATCAGAAAGGAAACTAGAAAGTATTTTCAACTGAATGAAAGTGAAAACACAACATGTCAAAATTTGTCAGATGCCATTAAAGTAATACTTTAGGGGAAATAAAAGCAGTAAACTCCATGTTATAAGAAGAAAGATCCACCTTACAGAACAGAAAAAAAGGGCGAATGAGTCCCAAAATAAGCAGAGGAAAGGAATAATAAAGATCAGGGTGGAAATTGATCAAGAAAAAAACAGTGAAACCAAAAGCTCTTTATGAGGATCAATAAGATTGACCAACTTCTAGATCAGGAAAAAAAGATTAATTACCTAAGTAAGGAAGAGAGAGCTATCATCACTAAAGATTCTATACATATTAGAAGGATAATAAGTTACTGTCATGAACAACTATGGTAGGCAGACTCTAAAACATTCTCTGATATGACCTACCTCCTAGTTGTCATACTCTCGTAAAATCCCTTCTCCTTGTGTGGACTTGTTGATTTGCTTATTAATCACTTGGAATAAGGTTACAAAAAGGGTATGGGATCCCTTTCACTCTTTCTCTTACACACTCTGAGGAAATACACCTTCCATTTTGTGAGCTGTCCTGTGGAGAGGCCTACATGGCCAGGAACTAATGTTTCTAGTCTGTAGTCAGCAAGGACTTGAGGATTACTAACAGGCATGTCAGTGAGCTTGAAAATAGATCATCTGAGGTCTGCTAAGGACAATGTGAATAAGCTTGGAAGCAGATTTTCCCCTTGGAGGACTACAGCCATGGCTCACCAAGAGGTACTTGTGAGAGACTCTGAGCCAGAGGCACCCCGCTAAACTGTGCCTGTATTGCAAAAATATTACCAGTTCTACAAAATTCTTCTAAGAAACTGAAAATAAAGAAGCATTTCCTAATTCATTCTAATGAAGAAAGCATTACCCTGATATCAAAATCTAACAGACATTAGAAGAAAAAATATCATAGGCTTATGAACACAGATCCAAAATTCTAAACACAATTTTAACAAACAGTACAGTTCAGTTCAATTCAGTCGCTCAGTCGAATCCAACTCTTTGAGACCCCATGGACTGCACCACGCCAGACTTCCCTGTCCAGCACCAGTTTGCAGAGCTTTCTCAGACTCATGTCCATCGAATCCATGATGCCATCCAACCATCTCATCCTCTGTCATCCTCTCTTCCTCCTGCCTTCACTCTTTCCCAGCATCGGGGTCTTTTCCATTGAGTCAGTTCTTCGCACCAGGTGGCTGAAGTATTGGAGCTTCAGCTTCAGCATCAGTCCTTCCAATGAATATTCAGGACTGATTTCCTTTAGGATTGACTGGGTGGATCTCTTTGCAGTCCAAGGGACTCACAAGAGTCTTCTCCAACACCACAGTCAAAAGCATCAATTCTTCGGCTCAGCCTTCTATACAGTCCAATTCTCACATCAATACGTGACTACAGGAAAAACCATAACTTTAACTAGATGGACTTTTGTTGGTAAAGTAATGTCCTGCTTTTTAATATGCTCTCTAGGTTTGTCATAGCTTTTCTTACAAGGAGCAAGGGTCTTTTAATTTCATGGCTGCAGTCACCATCTGCAGTGATTTTAGAGCCCAAAAAAGTAAAGTCTATCACTGTTTTCACTGTTTCCTCATCTATTTGCCATGAAGTGATAGGACCAGATACCATGATCTTAGTTTTCTGAATGTTGAGTTTTCAGCCAATTTTTTTCACTCTCCTCTTTTACTTTCATCAAGAGGCTCTTTAGTTCCTCTTTGCTTTCTGCCATGACGGTGGTATCATCTGCATATATGAGGTTATTGATATTTCTCCTTGCAGTCTTGATTCCAGCTTGTGCTTCAT